CAGCCTCTCACGCGCCCTATACTTGGATGGTGAAGACTAATATCTTTGTGAGTGCGAGTACCCGCCCAGGCCCGGTTTTCGCGGTTCGCCAGTGTGAAGTGGTTTCGCGCACTAATGATTACGTTGAACAGCCGTTTCGAGTACAAATGGCCGTTCGAGCGCAGGCTGCGGGGGTTTTTTGCATGGCTTAATTTACAACTGGTTGCATATAGATATGTTCTGAGCTTCTCAACGTAGATCATGCGTGCATAGGCCCACTGCTTGATACTCAGCCATCCATGGCAGCTCAACGTCGACGATCAGAGTTGACGCGTTACGATACTATAGGCGCCCGTGAAACGAAGCGACTCGTGCGCGCTTCATATTAAATTTCTTGTGCTTGTACTACGACCACACCAGCTTGTAATCAGCTCTTGACACTCTCATCTCTGCTGGGCCTTAGGCATTCTGGCCATAGAAGCACATATGGCACAGTATAACATCAATATGCCTCTCGGTGGCAGTGGTTGTGCCACTCTGAAGCTATCAATTGAACGCGCCCCTCCGACTTCGCCGGAGACACGAGCCATGCCGAACCCATATCATGAAACTATAGTACGTATGCATTGTACTTGTACTGCCAAGCTAGTCCTGAACATTTGTAGACGGTGTCCAGCTGCTTTCATACTTGCTGCAAGACCATAGACCCTCTGGCCTCACCTGCTTCCGCGTCGTTGAAGAGCAGTCACCCTGCGGCATCCCATTTCCCTCATATACATCAAATTCCCATGGGCCAGCCATCGAGTCCACAGGTCCATACATGCTCGCGCTCAACAGCACGTTCACCTGCGGCCACGAAGTCCCCGCTTCCCGTATTCCCCTCACCCATTGCTCCACGTCCGGCCGCCCAATCCACGCTCAAAAATCTCGATCTCGGCCGCGCCAGTGTCCTCAAAACACCGCCAAGGAGGCCGCGCGACCCACGATCATCACCTGCGCAGTCCGTGTGCTCCATATCTACAAAGTCCCCCAGCAAATCCCCGACTGTCCGTAAGGAAGTACGTGCGCGTTCCTCGTCTATCCCTCCTCTCCCCACCCGTAAGTTCCCATTAAATGCCTTCTCATAAAGTCGCACTGAATTAAACACTATGTAGAGTTTGGTATCGGTACTTTCATAGCGCACCCAGAAGTGCAACGCGCCTTCTTCCCGAGTTCGGCGGGTCACCAGCGTGACCGCAGTTCGAGTCCTGTACGCCCTACATCACCGCTCCCCTGCTCCTCCCCCATACCGCAGCATCAGCGTGAATGCTCCCTGCCGCTATCTGAAGCCGGTCTCAGCACAGCGGACACTCAGCTCGATCCCGACCCGATCCACGATGCATATAAGCTTGGGTATTACAACGGGCGAGTTGAAGGCAGAAAGGACGCCCTCATCGAACAGAAGGCAGTCAAGACATGCAACTCTTCTGAGGTGCAGGATACTGAGCCAGTATCGACTGCGGGGGACCTCACGTTGGTTGCGTCTGACGAGCCTGATAGCCCGAAGGTATGCCATGTGATCTACAAGTCCCATTTGACCTTCTAAGACATACTGACATGTCTTAGTCCCGTGTCCCGACCCCAGACATCATATCAGGCTGTGAACTTACTCCAGCGACGCGCAAGCGCATCGCCGCGGAGCTCCAGCCCGCCCATATCAGCCTTCAAGCCGTCAAGCGATTCAAGGTGGCGCCATATGTGCCCGACTGGCAGTACCCCGAACGGATGTAATCATAATCTACATGTATGGTGGTATAGGAATTGTACTCTGCTACGTTGTTGCTACCAAATTCCGTGTTGTATGTGTGAGCAAGCTTAAGCCTCAGCGCTAGCGCCCTCGGCGGCATGGGAGGCCATACGGTCCACGGCAAATTAGGCGCTGCTGTCGCCCTTCCCTCGTACCACCACATAGTACTCTACAGACACGCTCACTTGCCACTAGCTTTGCCGTACTTCTCTGTTCGCTCACCGCTCATCAACACATGCCTCAATTATCTGGTGCCAACTCGCCCCTCTTGTCGAAGCACAACATCTACATCGACGACGAAGAGGCTCGTATTCAGTGCATCGTCGAAGCACGGGAACTGTGGCCGTAGCACGCGCCTACAGCTGCGCGTCAGTGCACCATCTGGAAGCTTGAAGGAGGCAACTTCAGGTATGAGCTGTGGACACTGTATGATGTGCTGTGTTGCGACTCGACACTCTTTGTGGCAGCTGGCTGATGCCTCCCTACAGACATAGAACACCTGTACGTGTAGCATGTGTGTGGACGCTCTACACGAGGCGGCCGATTTCCGGATAGAAGTAGAGCAAGCAGGTGCGCGCAAAGGGGCTCGTGCAAAGGGGACCGCGTTGATGCTCGCTGAAACGACGCGAACGGACACCACGTTTATGGACAACACATTTGTGCACCCGGTCGTGCACCCGTGCATCGCTGCGCTGTCTCGAACACCTCCTGCTCCGGCACGCACGTACGTGCCGCCTCCGCCGCCCGCTCCGGCGTGAGCAGCCGCTTCTCCTCCTGCGGTTACTGCCCCTTCTTCGAGCTCCGCATGCACGCCGGCCTGCGGGCCTTCTTCGCCTGGAAACTACCAGCACTCCATCTGGATCTGCACACGCCGGGTGCCCGAAGAAC